GATAAGTATAGATATCTCCGTACCGATCCGCAAGACTCTACTAGACTTGCTCATGACTCGTGAAACCTAAGAGAACCTAGTGCTCTGATACCATGTTGTGACGACCCACAATCCATTAAGGTCGTGATGGCACCAGACACCACTATCAGGCTAGCCAACTATAATTACTAAATTTGGTCCTTGTCTTTAATATTTTTGAAATCATATTTTCCTTCCAATTAAATAGTAAAGGATGAATTTTTTAGAATAAATAATAATGTTTTTTATCAATTTCAATACTAAACGCCTATTATCAATCCCAAAACCCAGTGTCACAAGTGCATGAGCATTTGCTAGAAAATAAAATAAAATATAATAACTTTCCGGAATACAAATTTGGATAGAAAAGAAAAATACAAATACTCTGAAGGAGACTCTGCCGGCTGCGAATCGTCTTAAAAATGCAACTCACCTAATTCCCCATATCAACCACGTCGCTGCGACCACAAGGCCAATAATATATATGTGTACCTGCACAAAAATGTGCAGCAAGTGTAGCATGAGTACGTAAATCAACGCGTATCCAATAAGTATCCCGCCTAACCTCGAAGAAGTAGTGACGAGGGGTCGACTCGGACACTTACTATGGGCTATAATTAATATCAGGTACAGTAAAGAAGTGAATAGATATGAAATCGAGTAAATATATGAAATAACATGTATAAAATACGTGGCATAATTCCCCTCTTTACAATTTTACTCGAGCTCTCAACTAGCAAGTTCCCTCCGTAACCGGAGCATATATAGAGATGGTGGATTTCATCAACGAGATGGTCATAATTCAAATTAGGGAAAAACCTCAGATACACCGGCTTCTTGCCAATATTACGCACGATTCCATGAGGATAATATATATAGGAAATGCTGAGGTGTACGGCCCGATCCAACATAAAAGTAAACTGTGCACTACCGAGGGTTGAACGGCGCGAACCATAGATGCATCTATTAACCTGTCGAGGCGAATGGATCACTCCCATGAGAGTGTGGTACATAAATCCTGCCGAGGTGAACGGCCCGATCCCATAAGAGTGGTAGAAAGAAAATACCCTGCTCGCGAATCACACGTGCGACATAGTCAAATATAAATTTAAGGAAATCTCCCCGCTCGCGGATCATACTTGCGACGCGGTCAAATATAATTTAACATTAAAAATCCTATCTCTTTCTTAGTTCTTTTCAAAATGAGGGAAACTCAGCTTGTAGTTTTTTAAGGAAATTACCCCGCTCGCGAAACATACATGCGACGCGGTTACACATAGATTTCTTAAGCTATTATGGTATTCCTCAATCCTTTTCGAAATTACAATGTTCAAATGAAACCTTTTAAATCTTAAGTTCTTTAATTTCAACTCCTTTCAAAACATTTAATAAGAAAACTCAATCTCGTTCCCTCTCGAGGCAAACAGTTAAACATAAATCAATAACAACATCAACAAGGCATGATGTGAGCCTAAAACTACCAGGACATAGTCATAGCTAGTAGCTACGCACAGACTCTCGTCACCTCGTGCGTACGTAGCCCCCACAAATAGAAGCACACAATAATTTAGTTCACATATGGGGTTAATTCCCTCTTACAAGGTTAGAAAGGAGACTTAGTTTGCTCCGAAATTCCATAACCGGCTCCAAAGCCTTTCTAACACCTCAAACCAACGCCCGTCGCTCCAAAAATAGTCAAATAAGTTGCAACCCAATCAAAATATGCTCTAATACTCATAATTAATCAATTTATAACAATTTCTAACTCCGATCGAAAAATCGATAAAGCAACCCTCGGGCCCACGTGCCCGGATTCCAAAACTTTTAGAAGATAAACTCTACCCATAACCTCACAAACTCAAATATATAGTTCATTTCCAATTCCATGCCCAAATTCGTGGTCAAAATTCACAAATACCAAATTCTAGGTTTTCCTCTTAAAATCCCAAATTTCTATAACTTTTCATGTCTAAATCCATACAAAATTAAATTATTTAACTTGCAATAAGTGGGAATTACTTACCTTGACATAGATGACGAAAATCTCCCTTCCAAGAGCTCCAAAAATCGCCCAACCAAATGAAAAGTGGAGGAAAAATGGCCAAACCATGTCTTTAAAATAATCTCCCCAGGCCAGGCCCTTCTTCGTGTTTGCGACCTCTGTCTCGCGTTCGTGAAGGACAAAAACCCACCTGCCTCAAATTCCTCTTCGCGTTCGCGGTACCACACCCGCGTTCGTGAAGGCTAAGCACTTCCAGGCCCAGCTCCATTCCTTCTTCGCGTTCGCGACCACTGCGTCGTGTTCGCGAAAGCTTGACCAGTTCTTGCCACGCGTTCGCGTTACACACTTCGCGTTCACGAAGGCCAATGACCTCGGACCTATCTTCTCCTTTCTTCTTCGCATTCGCGTTGCCTTGGCCGCGTTCGCGAAGGCTTGCCCAGCTCCTGCCTCGCGTTCGCGTCCACTGCTTCGCGTTCGCGAAGGCCAAATCCAGCACCCCCAAAATTTCTTCTTCGCGAGCACGATGAAGGAAACCACATACCAGCAACAACAGTCCAAAAAAACCCGAAATGATCTGAAACCACCCCTAAACACACCCGAGGCCCCGGGGACCCCGTCCAATCATACCAACCAGTCCCATAACATAACACAAACTTGCTCGAGACCTCAAATCAAATCAAACAACATCAAAATCATGAATTGTACCCTAATTCAAACTTAATGAACTTTGAAACTTCAACTTCTACAATCGATGCCGAAACCTATCAAATCACGTCCGATTGTCCTCAAATTTTGCACACAAGTGACATTTGACATTAGGACCTACTCTAAATTCCGGAATCGAAATCCGACTCCGATATCGAAAAGTTCACTTCCGGTAAAACTTCTCAAAAACTTTCAAAAGTCTAACGTTAGCCAAATGACTCCAAAATGACCTACGGACCTCCGAATCCACTTCCGGACGCGCTTCCAACACCGGAATCACCTTATGGAGCTATTCCCAGGCTCGGAATCCCAAACAGACATTGATAAAATTGAAATGCACTTCAACTCAAATTTAAGAAATCCTTCTAAAAATCCCAACTTCCATAATAGGTGCCGAAATGTTCCCCGGTCATCCAAAATTCGACCCGGACATACGCCCAAGTCCAAAATCATCATACGAACCTGTTGGAACCTTCAAATCCCAATTCCGAGGTCATTTACTCAAAAATCTAACCTTAGTCAATTCTTCCAACTTAAAGCTTTCGAAATGAGAGTTTTCTTTCATAATCAACTCTGAACTTCCGAAATTCATTCCGACCATGCGGGCAAGTCATAATACCCAAAGTGAAGCTACCCATGGCCTCAAACCACAGAATGACGCACTAGGACTCAAAACGACCGGCCGGGTCATTACACCGTATAATTCTTTATTCTGCAATGTCTTTTTCTCGTGAATTAGCCTCCAAATGCCTCGAAGCTAGCCACAAATAATTTGATTCAGTCAATAAAATTTATTGGAATTAATTCCATAAGAAAATACTAATTTTCCAACAAAATCCGAAATTTAGCTCAAAAATCGCCAGTGGGGCCCACGTCTCGGAACCCGACAAAAGTTACAGAATCTGAAATCCCATTCAACCACGAGTCTAATCGTACCAATTTTACCAAAATCCGATCTCAACTCGACTCTCAAATCTTCAATTTAAACCGAGAGGGTTTTCTAAATCTTCCAACTTAATTCTCTAATTAAATGTCAAAAATAACCATGGATTCGGGTAATTTAACTAATATTGAGTTAAGAAGACTTACCCCGTTGTTTTCCTTGAAAACCTCCAGAATATTCTCTCTGTCTGAGCTCCAAATCGGTAAAAATGGAGTCCCATTTTCAGAACTTAATCTCTCTGCCCAGTCATTTGCTCTATGCGATCGCAGACAACCACACGCGATCGCGAAGCACAAATTTTCACTGCCCAGATTTAACCCTATGCGATCGCGGACCTTTCCACACGATCGTGAAGCTCACTCTCACAGGCCTACACGATCGGGGACTCATCCACGAGATCGCGAAACACAAAACGTGTGACCTCTACTTCTGCTCCACTTACACTACGCGAACGCGACCTTCTTCAAGCGTTCGCGAATAACAAACTCGCACAGCTATGCGATCGTGGCCCTCTTCACACGATCGCGAAGAACTAAATCATCACTACCTCAAACAAGCCTATGCGATCGTGGACATTCCCATGTGATCGCGTAGAAGGAAAACCAGTGACAGAAAACCAACATTCTTCAGTTGGAATGCCAAGCCCAAAATTGATCCGTTAACCATCCGAAACTCACCCGAGGCCCCCCGGGACCTCAACCAAACATACCGTCAAGTCCCATAACATCATACGAACTTAGTCTAACCCTCAAATTACCTTATACAACGCTAAAATCACAAATCATTCCCCAATTCAAGCCTAATAAACTTTGAAATTTCAAATTTTTACAAATAACGTCGAAACCTATCAAATCACGTCCGATTGACCTCAAATTTTTCACACAAGTCATAAATGATATAATGGAGGTATTCTTATTTTCAGAATCAGATTCTGACCTCGATATCAAAAAGTCAACCCCCGGTCAAACTTTCCAAAAATTTGACTTTCGCCATTTCAAGCCTAATTCTACTACGCTCCTCCAAATAATTTTGCAGACACGCTCCTAAGTTCAAAATCACGATATGGAGCTGTTGGAATCATCAGAATTAAATTCCGAGGTCATTTACATATAAGTCAATATCCGGTCAACTTTTCCAACTTAAGTTTTTAATTAAGAGACTAAGTGTCTCATTTCAATTTGAAATCCTTCCGGACCCGAACCAACTAACTTGGTAAGTCATAAAACGACTGTAAAGCATAAATTAAGCACTAAATGGGGGAACGGGATTATAATATTCAAAATAACCGGCCGGGTCATTACAAAAAGGAAATTAGAAGAAGTTTATGTGGTAATGCTTACTGAAAAATATAGTGCTATACTTCCACAAAAACTTGATGATCCTGGTAGTTTTACCATTCCATGCATTTTGGGAGGAGTATATCTTGAAAAAGCACTTTGTGATTCTGGAGCTTCAATAAATTTGATGCCATTTTCTATCTTTAGAAAATTGGATCTTGGTGAAATGAAGGACATAGGTATTTCTCTTCAGTTTGCAAATCAAAGTACTAAGAAACCTAAGGGAATAATTGAAAATGTGCTTGTAAGAGTAGATACGTTTGTGTTCCCTGTAGATTTTATAGTGCTTGAAATGAAAGAATGTCCTAATGAACCAATAATTTTAGGTAGACCATTTCTTGCTACAGGAAGAGCAATCATAGATCTTCATCAAGGACAACTAATTTTGAGGGTTGATAAAGAAAGTGTCATTTTTGATATGTAAAAGATACTAAGATTTTCAGGAGATGAGGCATCATCTTTATGCTTTTCTATTGATATGATTAGTGATCTTGCAGATGAATTCAAAGATGATCAATTAATTTCTGACTCAATTGAAAGATGTTTGACCAAATCAGACACTACACAAGATGATGATCCCACAATCAGGAAAGAAGCTGAAAGACTAGAAAACGATTCTAAGGATAAAGAGATGTAATCAGAAGAAGTTCAACCGAAAATTGAACTCAAAGTTCTCCCTTTTCATTTAAAATATGTTTATCTTGAGCAATAATTATTTTATCTTCTTTGACTGCAGAATAAGAAGAAAGACTAATTCAAGTCTTAAAAGCACATAAAGGAGCTTTAGGGTGAACTGTAGAGGAAATCAAAGGAATTAGTCCAACAATTTGTACGCATAGAATCCTCATGGAGGATATCTACAAGCCAATAATCTAACCCCAAGGGAGATTGAATCCTACAATGCATGAAGTGGTGAAAAAGGAGATTGTCATGCTTTTAGCAGCAGGTATTATTTACACAATTTCAGACAATCCTTGGTTAAGTCTAGTTCAGGTAGTACCAAAGAAACGAGGTATGACAATTATAAAGAATGAAAATAATGAACTCATACCTATGAGAATTGTTAAAGGATGGAGAGTCTGTATTGATTATAGACGTCTCAATGATGCTACCAGAAAAGATCATTTTCTTTTACCATTTGTTGATCAAATGTTGGAAAGAACTGCAGGATATGATTTTTACTGTTTTCTTGATGGCGATTCAGGGTATAACCCAATACCAATTGCACCCGAAGATCAGGAGAAGATAACTTTCACATATCCTCACGGAACATATGCCTATAGGAGAATGCCATTTGGTCTGTGCAACGCCCCTGCTACATTTCAGCGTTTTGCATATCAACAATTTTTTCTGACATGACGGAAAAATTTCGTGAACTTTTTATGGATGATTTTACACTCTTTGGCAAAGCATTTAAAAATTATCTTTACCACTTGACTTTAGTTCTTAAGAGATGTGAAGAGATAAACTTGATTCTGAATTAGAAAAAATATTATTTTATGGTTATAGAGGGAATTGTTTTAGGACATAAAATCACTGCCAATGAAATAGAAGTTGATAAGGCTAAAATTAATCTTATAGAAGGATTACCCCCTCCCACAACTGTTAAAGGTATCAGAAGCTTTCTAGGTCATGCAGGTTTTTACAAACGGTTCATAAAGGATTTTTCAAAGATTTCAAAATCTCTAACTAACCTCTTGATGAAACATGTTAAGTTTGATTTTTCAGGTGATTGTATGATAGCTTTTGACACCCTTAAGGAGAAATTATCAACTGCCCATGTAGTTGTGTCCCCTGATTGAAGTCAATCTTTTGATGTTATGTGTGATGCTAGTGATATGACAGTTGGAGCTGTTTTAGGCTAGACAAAGGATAAAATTTTTTGTCTCATTTACTATGCCAGTAGAACACTAAATGAGGCTCAACTGAATTATGCCACAACAGAAAAAGAGTGACTGGCAGTAGTATTTGCATTTGATAAATGTCGTTCTTATTTGATAGGAACGAAGGTCACTGTTTTTACTGACCATGCAACTTTAAAATACCTCTTAGCTAAAAAGGATGCTCGACCTAGATTATTAAGATGGATTTTACTTCTGCAAGAATTTGACCTTGAGATAAAAGACAAAAAAGGAACAGAGAATCAGGTAGCTGACCATTTGTCTAGACTAGAAGACCCTCCCCTTGAGTTCAGCGAGATAAAAGAAGAATTTTCTGATGAACACATTTTTTCAGTTGACTCTATTGTGACTCAACCACCCTAGTTCGCAGATATTGCTAACTACTTGGTTGGAAGATGGACACCCCAAGATCTCTCTTACCAACTGAGAAAAAAGCTTATTTCTGATGCTAAGTATTATTTGTGGAATGAACCTTACTTTTTCAAAATTTGTGCAGATAATACCATCAGGAGGTATGTACCTGAAGAAGAGATGACCAAAATTCTGTATCACTGCCATGATGGAAAAATTGGAGGTCATTATGCTGCAAACCGTACGACATTTAAAGTATTGGAGGCCGGATTTTCTGGCCAACACTCTTCAAAGATGCCCGAGCATATGTCGCACAATATGATAGGTGTCAGAAAATAGGTAATATGACTAAGAGAGATGAGATGCCATTACAATCAATACATGTATGTGAAATATTTGTTGTTTGGGAATAGATTTTATGGGCCCTTTTCCTTCTTCTCATTCTTTTGAATATATCCTTGTGGATGTGGATTATGTATCAAGATGGGTTGAAGCCATCCCCACAAGGAAGAATGATACTCATACAGTGTGTAATTTTCTTAGAAAAAATATTTTTGCTAGAGTTGGTATACCTCGAGTCATCATTAGTGATCAAGGAACTCATTTCATGAATAGGTAATTTTCTGCTTTGCTATCAAAATATGGTGTGACTCACAAAACTGGAACACTATATCATGCTCAAACACAAGGGCAAGTTGAAGTTTTCAACTACGAGTTAAAAAGAATTCTTGAAAAGACGGTTGAAATTTCAAGAAAAAACTGGTCTTTAAAATTAGATGATGCATTATGGGCATACCGAACGACGTTCAAAATTCCAATTGGAACATCCCAATATAAATTAGTCTTTGAAAAGGCTTGCCATTTGCCAGTTGAATTAGAACACAAAGTTTTTTGGGAACTGAAAGCATTAAACTTTGAATTAACTTCTGCTGGTAAAAAGAATTGAGGTTGGAAGCATATGAAAATACAAAAATTTTCAAGGAAAAAACAAAAAAAATGGCATGACAATTTGATCTGACAAAAAAGTTTTAAAATTGGAGATCAAGTACTTCTTTACAATAGCAGGCTAAGGCTATTTCCAGGAAAATTAAAATTCAGGTGGACAGGTCCTTATAATGTTACAGATGTTACTCCTTATGGAGCAATTGAAATTCAACAGAACAGTGGAGGAGACAAATTTAAGATAAATGGTCGAAGACTCAAATTGTACTTTGGAGGATATTTTGAGCAACATCCATCAGTCACTCTGATAGACTGATGAATTCCATACTCAATAAGTCGAGCTGAAGACGTTAAACTCAGAACTATGGTACGTACCCGTAGCTGTTAAGGGAGAAGCAATGGAGCCTCATAAGTCCAACATAGATTTGAGTAATTAAGTGCTTAACTAATTGATCTGGTTAACATCCAGATTATTGTACAATCGGAACATATCATTAAGGTCTCTACAAAAACAGAGTCATCTACACGGGAGCAACTCTATGGTGATCGGTATGCCTAAATGACTGGTTAGTTAACCAATTAATGATACAATTCAAATGGAGGCACATGTAAATTTTGGTTTATATTTAAACTCGGACCCTATGACTGTTAAGGTGTTAAATTAGTTCAGTCTATTACACATATAACATGTGTGACCACAGTTTCTTTCAAGCTTTCTTCTGTGACTGTAAATTTGAAAGCTAAAAAGATTTTTATTTTATTTCTTTTATAAAAGTTCTTTAGTACTTTATGTATTTACAAATTTAAAAAAAACAAAGGGAAAAAAGTGAGCTGGAACCAAATGCACAAAGTGAGATGGTAAAGAGTCCTAGAATAGGGGAGATGAATTCTCAAAAAAAAAAAAAAAAAAAAAAAAAAAACAATTGGTTGTTCCGGTGACACAACGTGGTTCCTCACAGCCAAGAGAGGAGAATTTTGCTGATTATAATGTAGGAGGCACAAATAAGCTTCATAATGAGATTTAATCCAGGAGGATGAAAGATTTAAGTGTTGGGGGGTCAATGTTTTGGAGAAAGAATATGGGAAGTTCATGCCTTTTACTGTTTAGCCTATATAGTATTAGGCTATATTGGCTGTTGTTACTAATGTCGTCTTTTTTTTGTATTATTTTTAAAAGTATTCTGGGAAGTTTTTGTATATATATACATATACATATATATGTATAACTGGTGTAACATATATGTAAAATATGTTGCTGCTTTAACATATTGATAACGTAATTTTTTTATTAGTATTGAAGGAACAGGTTATAGAGCTGGATGTTTAAGCAACAAAGCACTCTTCAATGCTTGGGTAGTACCTATCAAGTGCAACAGTTAAATAACCATAAAAGAAAAGAAAAAAAGAATTTCAATTTCCGTAAATAAAGTACTACTTATATATAATTCTCTTTCATGGATTATTGTTTTATTGCGGGTATTAAATTCATAATATAAGATCTCTTCATTTTTTTAAAATATTAACTCTTTTCTTCTTGAATCACATAACTTCCGAGTTTATTATTCTAATTTTGTGAAAGTAAGGATTTGCATCTTCAACTCAAGAATTCATTGGAATTGAGAAGAGTTATGAACATCAACAGTTAGATTCAGTAATTCTTTAGTAGAACTTGCTCTGAATGTTTATCAAGGCGAAATAATATTTGACACTAATTTTTGAAAAATGAATTAGGCTTTCTTTGATTTCTTCCTTTTAGCCTGAAAATGCAACCAAAACAATCCAAAAAATAATTGTATCCCTAGTACCCAACTTTGAAGCCTGTAAATCATTCATTCTAGTCACACCATAGTCTGAACCAGTAAATTATAAATACCCGTATATCTGTAATTACTTCTTCCTAATTGTTTCTCTTTAGCTGAAAATTCAAAGATGAAGCTTAATAAAAAAAAATGGAAAAAATGGCGGCAGAAAAGGCAAAGAAGCAGTATACATATGGATTCTTTCTATATAGAGAAAATCTCTATTGTACAGAAAGTATTGTTCTAAAAAAAAGGAGAAAATTACTTCAAAATTTCAGAATATATATTGCTTCAATAGCTACAAAAAAAGTCACTATAAATATTCCCTTTATCCTACCAGCTTGAAACTTAACATTACAAACCGAAAAAGCACTAAAAGGTTTTAAAAAATAGTGTTTAAACTACATTAGTGGTGATTTACATAATGAGTAAGCCTATGGATAAAGAAATATAATTCTTAGTGAAGATGGTCATAAATTTATCAATTCTTAAGAGTCATAGGGAGAAGAAATGCAAGTTCTTGCCAAACAAAGATGGAATCATAAGCAAGGTAAATGTTTTGTAAGGTTGAAAAGGTTAATCAGTTTTGGGAAATGAGGAAACCCTTATCTTGAATAAATTTTCTCTCCACAAGGCAAACAATG